CCCCCAAAACCCCAAAACCCCAAAACCCCTTGCTATAGTTTTATTGAATTAAAATTATTATAGCAAGATGTCAAGAAAGAAATCTGAGTATTCTTCTCAGTATGACAAAAAAGGGTTGTCTGAGGTAGGACTATAAATACCAAAACCAGCTTATAAACATCTTAATGATTTTTATCGATTTTAGCATGTGAATTACATCATGTATTGTATCTCCAGCCACCATTACCTATAAAGCATTTTAGGAGCTGATAAAAATAAGAGATAATCCAGAGCCAGTCCTTAGCCCTAAAGCTTGTGCAAAGTCTCCAAAGTTTGTTAAAAAGTCTAAATAAGAGCGATGAGAACTCCTTAATTCTCAGGTAACACCTCACCGTTACTGTAATAACCAAAATAGAGTGTATAGCCCAGAAAAGGCTAAGAAATATATCAGATCTTCTTCATTCAAGAAGGCTGACCTTCAAAAGAGGTAATTTCAGTGCTCATTTCGCTTTCAGAATTCAGCAGATGAAATAAATCGTTTGATAAGAGAATGGGTAGTAATTCTACTTCCCATGACAAACCATGCAAAATATATTTTAAGAACCAGAAAAGTAAGGAAAGTCTAGTGAGAAATCAGAAAAAATTACCCACTCCGAAGAAGCAATTGGATGTAAGCAAACTGCAGGGGAAGAGCACACTACATATTTTGGAAAAATACCAAAAGTGATCAGGAGACCTTAAGAGGGCAAAGAACCAGAATGATATCTTAGAAGCCTTCCATTCTTCATTTGAAGATTTGAAGCAGTAGGTGATTTGCCTTATTTGTAGAGGAGATAATGATTTGAGTAATATATCAGGGTTTAAGTAAGTGAATTAGGATAATTTTAAAGACCAAAGAACCATATTTCTATCGAAAGTCCACATATCAGCTGGAATAGTCCGAAGATGGTTAGGACATCCAAGAATAAGCACAATGTGAACTTTATTAACAAATCTAAGCTCTCAACATTATCTGACAATACTGACAGATCTATGGTTTCTAAAAAGAGGTTTAAAGCATCTAATTCTGAGCACAAAACTCCAATGAGCTTGGTTAAAAAGGTAATTTAGGACTAATATCGTAGGAACAAACTTTGAGAAGGAAATAAAGGAAGTCTTGAACCACCCAAAAGATCTAATTTAGATTGGAACCCAGATATTTCCATAACGAATGTAGAGACTAAGCTGGCTAAAGCCCTTCGTCTCTCTCGCGACGAGGGGAACTCCTCGCTTGGGTCAGTTAAGCAGACTTATGTTGGGAAGAAGTCTCCAGATGATTTAAAATAAAATGTCTGAGATCTTCCAAATGAGGTATCTCAGATTGACTAATTCCTTCGGCAAATTAGATACTAATCGAAAAGAAAGCAAACACAAGAATTCAAAGAGTGGAATGAAATACAAGGATAACTCAAGAGGTATTTTTAAGCACAAGCTTGAACTTCTCAAAGAAAACATGCAAAAAGAGTACTATAAGGGTATTGCCAGCGTAAAGGAAAAGAACAAGGAGCGAGGTAGGTTTTCTAACCTTATAATTAGAATTGGAAAGAACAATACAGGGGCATAAGACTCCTATTAATTTTGATTACGAGATATTGCCCAAAATAAAGTAAGTTTACCTTGACAATCAATTAGTGGAAACATCAAGCCAATGTTCAAAGACAACTCTAAGGAGAGCTTGTTAAGAATATGTGAGAAAGGATATACTCTATCCCTTCCTAATCATATTAATGTAATGAAAAGTACACTAGATAAAAGCCAGGATACCTCTTTGAATCAAGATTTAGAGATATAATGGAATAGCAAGGATCGGCCTATAAGTCAAACTTGGAAATATTCAGTCTGTCACAGGAGTAAACCTAAGTTCAGTAGATCTTCAGTCTAGCTTAATGTGATATTCCAGACTCTTTGGTTGATCCAAGAATAATTGTAGCGACCAAGTTGTTGTAAATAAATTTCAATTTTAACTCTAGATTTTGGGGTTTTGGGGTTTTGGGGTTTTGGGGTTTTGGGG